TCCCAGCATCCAGTACATCACATCAACATGAACACGTCCCAGCATCCAGTACATCACATCAACATGAGACACATCCCAGCATCCAGTACATCACATCAACATGAGACACGTCCCAGCATCCAGTACATCACATCAACATGAGACACGTCCCAGCATCCAGTACATCACATCAACATGAGACACGTCCGAGCATCCAGTACATCACATCAACATGAGACACGTCCCAGCATCCAGTACATCACATCAACATGAGACACGACTCCCAGCATCCAGTACATCACATCAACATGAGACACGTCCCAGCATCCAGTACATCACATCAACATGAGACACGTCCCAGCATCCAGTACATCACATCAACATGAGACACGTCCCAGCATCCAGTACATCACATCAACATGAGACACGTCCCAGCATCCATACATCACATCAACATGAGACACGTCCCAGCATCCAGTACATCACATCAACATGAGACACGTCCCAGCATCCAGTACATCACATCAACATGCAACACGTCCCAGCATCCAGTACATCACATCAACATGAGACACGTCCCAGCATCCAGTACATCACATCAACATGAAACACGTCCCAGCATCCAGTACATCACATCAACATGAGACACGTCCCAGCATCCAGTACATCACATCAACATGAGACACATCCCCAGCATCCAGTACATCACATCAACATGAGACACGTCCCAGCATCCAGTACATCACATCAACATGAGACACATCCCAGCATCCAGTACATCACATCAACATGAGACACGTCCCAGCATCCAGTAATCACATCAACATGAGACACGTCCCAGCATCCAGTACATCACATCAACATGAGACACGTCCCAGCATCCAGTACATCACATCAACATGAGACACGTCCCAGCATCCAGTACATCACATCAACATGAGACACGTCCCAGCATCCAGTACATCACATCAACATGAGACACGTCCCAGCATCCATACATCACATCAACATGAGACACGTCCCAGCATCCAGTCATCACATCAACATGAGACACGTCCCAGCATCCAGTACATCACATCAACATGAGACACGTCCCAGCATCCAGTACATCACATCAACATGAGACACGTCCCAGCATCCAGTACATCACATCAACATGAGACACGTCCCAGCATCCAGTACATCACATCAACATGAGACACGTCCCAGCATCCAGTACATCACATCAACATGAGACACGTCCCAGCATCCAGTACATCACATCAACATGAGACACGTCCCAGCATCCAGTACATCACATCAACATGAGACACGTCCCAGCATCCAGTACATCACATCAACATGAGACACGTCCCAGCATCCAGTACATCACATCAACATGAGACACGTCCCAGCATCCAGTACATCACATCAACATGAGACACGTCCCAGCATCCAGTACATCACATCAACATGAGACACGTCCCAGCATCCAGTACATCACATCAACATGAGACAACGTCCCAGCATCCAGTACATCACATCAACAATGAGACACATCCCAGCATCCAGTACATCACATCAACATGAGACACATCCCAGCATCCAGTACATCACATCAACATGAGACACGTCCCAGCATCCAGTACATCACATCAACATGAGACACATCCCAGCATCCAGTACATCACATCAACATGAGACACATCCCAGCATCCAGTACATCACATCAACATGAGACACGTCCCAGCATCCAGTACATCACATCAACATGAGACACGTCCCAGCATCCAGTACATCACAATCAACATGAGACACGTCCCAGCATCCAGTACATCACATCAACATGAGACACGTCCCAGCATCCAGTACATCACATCAACATGAGACACGTCCCAGCATCCAGTACATCACATCAACATGAGACACGTCCCAGCATCCAGTACATCACATCAACATGAGACACGTCCCAGCATCCAGTACATCACATCAACATGAGACACGTCCCAGCATCCAGTACATCACATCAACATGAGACACATCCCAGCATCCAGTACATCACATCAACATGAGACACGTCCCAGCATCCAGTACATCACATCAACATGAGACACATCCCAGCATCCAGTACATCACATCAACATGAGACACATCCCAGCATCCAGTACATCACATCAACATGAGACACGTCCCAGCATCCAGTACATCACATCAACATGAGACACGTCCCAGCATCCAGTACATCACATCAACATGAGACACGTCCCAGCATCCAGTACATCACATCAACATGAGACACGTCCCAGCATCCAGTACATCACATCAACATGAGACACGTCCCAGCATCCAGTACATCACATCAACATGAGACACTCCCAGCATCCAGTACATCACATCAACATGAGACACGTCCCAGCATCCAGAACATCACATCAACATGAGACACGTCCGAGCATCCAGTACATCACATCAACATGAGACACGTCCCAGCATCCAGTACATCACATCAACATGAACACGTCCCAGCATCCAGTACATCACATCAACATGAGCACGTCCCAGCATCCAGTACATCACATCAACATGAGACACGTCCCAGCATCCAGTACATCACATCAACATGAGACACGTCCCAGCATCCAGTACATCACATCAACATGAGACACGTCCCAGCATCCAGTACATCACATCAACATGAGACACGTCCCAGCATCCAGTACATCACATCAACATGCAACACGTCCCAGCATCCAGTACATCACATCAACATGAGACACGTCCCAGCATCCAGTACATCACATCAACATGAGACACGTTCCAGCATCCAGTACATCACATCAACATGAGACACATCCCAGCATCCAGTACATCACATCAACATGAGACACTTCCCAGCATCCAGTACATCACATCAACATGAGACACGTCCCAGCATCCAGTACATCACATCAACATGAGACACTTCCCAGCATCCAGTACATCACATCAACATGAGACACGTCCCAGCATCCAGTACATCACATCAACATGAGACACGTCCCAGCATCCAGTACATCACATCAACATGAGACACGTCCCAAGTTTTCTCATTTAGTCCAATAAAGAAACCAGAGTTTTCTTTAAGACTTTTGAGAACTTAATTAGCACAGGTTTACCACGTCTTACAGGTAGTAAGATGCCGTATTTTTCTTCATCTCTCCTTTACTCTCTATTGTATTTATTGATGGATTTTCTTTATTTTTCTCTTTATTCTTTATTTTGTCTTTATTCTTTATTTTTTCTCATTTTTGTTTATTCTGTATTTTATTCATTTCTTTATTACTCTCTTTAATATTCTCTGTGTTCTTCATGTTCATTTCACTTCTTTATTTTTTTTGGCTCTTCATATGTTTAAAACACCTGTTGTTAGATTCTACGGAGATTAAAACGCCTGTTGTTAGATTCTACGGGGATTAAAATACCTGTTGTTAGATTCTACGGGGATTAAAACGCCTGTTGTTAGATTCTACGGAGATTAAAACGCCTGTTGTTAGATTCTACGGAGATTAAAACACCTGTTGTTAGATTCTACGGAGATTAAAACGCCTGTTGTTAGATTCTACCGGGATTAAAATACCTGTTGTTAGATTCTACGGGGATTAAAACACCTGTTGTTAGATTCTACGGAGATTAAAACACCTGTTGTTAGATTCTACCGGGATTAAAATACCTGTTGTTAGATTCTACGTGGATTAAAATACCTGTTGTTAGATTCTACGGGGATTAAAACGCCTGTTGTTAGATTCTACGGGGATTAAAATACCTGTTGTTAGATTCTACGGAGATTAAAACACCTGTTGTTAGATTCTATGGAGATTAAAACACCTGTTGTTAGATTCTACGGGGATTAAAACACCTGTTGTTAGATTCCCCGGGGATTAAAACACCTGTTGCTAGATTCTACGGGGATTAAAACACCTGTTGTTAGATTCTACGGGGATTAAAATACCTGTAGCCAGATTTTAGCAGGTTTAAATCCCCCAACAACACCTGTCTACTAAAATTGAGTTAATTAACATACGCGACACCTGTAGCTAATTCAAGTATAACTTGTCACCCCCACAACACCTGTAGTTTTACCTAACGTGGCCTAATAATCAACTGAAACACTTGTGCATAATTAGAGTATTAACATCCCACAACACCTGTACATCTACCCAACATACGACAATAACCACAAAACACCTGTAGAACTCCCCAACATGTGAAAATAATCACGCATAACACCTGTAAATTATCACCCCAACACCTGCAGTTAATAATTATCACCCCAACACCTGCAGTTAATAATTATCACCCCAACATCTGCAGTTAATAATTATCACCCCAACACCTGCAGTTAATAATTATCACCCCAACACCTGCAGTTAATAATTATCACCCCAACACCTGCAGTTAATAATTATCACCCCAACACCTGCAGTTAATAATTATCACTGGACACTGAAGCAGTCTTTATATACTAAATATAATTATGCCATAATTACCCAGCAGGTAATTACTTTAAATGTAATCTGCGCCTTAAAATATGGATCAGACCAAAAGAATTAATTTGTGTGTATGTCATTATACATCTCGTTAATGAAGGTCGCGTTATAATGAATTCTGTTCGAATTCGTCATTAGCATGTATAACCTAAGGAATAATAATAATAATATTAATGATAATAATAATAATAATAATATTTTATATATATATATATATATATATATATATATAAAATAAATATATAATATAAAATATATATATATATATATGTGTGTGTGTGTGTGTGTGTATGTGTGTATGTGTTGTTGTGTTGGTGGTGTGTGTGTGTGTGTGTGTGTGTGGTGTGTGTGTGTGTGTGTGTGTGTATGTAATATATAAATTCCAGGCGCTTTCGTGACTTCTCACATTATCAAGGTTCCTTGATAATGTGAGATGTCACGAAAGCGGCTGGAATTTCGCTATTTTTCCACAGTACATACTTCAACATGTTAATTTTCCTCTCTTGTTAATTCCAGGTTAACCAAGGCTCCTCAGACCAGGGACCAATTAGTCTTAAGTTATGTTAAGTTTTGGATCACGCTTGTTCATTTGTAAGGTAAGTATGTTAAATGTAACTCCTTCGTTAATTGCAAAACAGTTAACATTTGACAACACTAGTGGTTAATGACGTTTTATGGGACGTGATGTTAAATCTGTCCTCGTTAACTATTAACAACACTGCGTTAATTTATCGTTGTTATGGCTGTTTTAAAAGCTTTTAATGCTTGCAACAACAGTGTGCTTGAATTAGCATGATGGTGCATAAATTATTGTCCCAATTAGTTCATAAATTGGCTTTTGCCTTGTTCAGTTGCGACCTCTCTCTCTCTCTCTCTCTCTCTCTCTCTCTCTCTCTCTCTCTCTCTCTCTCTCTCTCTCTCTCTCTCTCTCTCTCTCTCTACTTGGCCTTCTTACTCATTTTTGCAACATTGCAAGCTCCGGATGATGTATGTCTATTGCAAAACGAAAGGCCTAGAGCTATCATTCAACTCTCCTTGTTTTTCTTTTAATATATATTATATATTAGTTATTACCACCCGTATATATATATATATATATATATATATATATATATATATATATATATATATATATATATATATATATGTATGTATGTAGTGTGTGTGTGTGTGTGTGTGTGTGTGTGTGTGTGTGTGTGTGTGTGTGTGTGTGTGTGTGTGTGTGTGTGTGTGTGTGTGTGTATGGAACAAATAAACATCAAAAATAAACCCTGTTAAAAAAGTTAGCACTAATTACCTTTCCAGAAACATAATTAGCTAATAACTCATTAGCATAACTGTTACACTCTCTAATAAACAGAACCCAAAACTAGTGATTGAATTATATTAGAGATCATTACTTTTCAACAGTCTCTATGTCTCTCTTTTTTCAGAGGAGCAGTTATTACCCAGTTATCCAGTTAGCAAGCAGTCAGCCAGTTAACAACCACTCAAGCGGATCTAGACGATAAGTTATCATGAGACAGGATGTTAACCCACACTGTCAACCAGTCATTCGAGGCAGTCAAACTGATAGCAAATTATTTCTACCGCCGTTTCTGTCAGCCAGTTACTCGAGTGTTAACGAGACAGTCAGACAAAACAATAACAGTCAGATTATGTCCAATAGCCAGTTACTCTCAACCAGTTTTTTTAGACAAACTCCCCAGTCACCCGGGGTTAAAAATATTGATCAGTCATGACTTCGTTTATCCAGTTATCTGACAGTTAGCCAGTCAGGAGTGGTTATTAAACAGTCAGTCCTTAGACAGTTAAGTGCCCAGTTACAGTCGTTAGGCGGATGCTAAACACCAGTCCGTATAAAACCAACTACGACACAAAAACCGAGTCAAAACCAACCAAAATAACCTCGAAATTATATAAAAACCACTTGAAATCACGTCAAAAGCCCGTCAAAAACCACGTATAAATGACAAATACGTCAACCCATAACAGATATGTTAAACCACGTTAAAACACTTCAAAAATAACTCAAATTACCTTGAAACCATACAAAACCACTTCAAACTACCTTAAAACCTTACAAAACTACGTCAAATCACGACAAACTAAGTTAAACCACATTAAACCACGTTAAATCTCTATTACAAAGCACAGTCAAAAAACCACTTGATAAACCAGATCAGCTCATTAGTAAAAAAAACACGTATATGCAAATTCTTAAAAGCAGGTATTTAAAAACCAGGAAAAATCTAATTAAAACCATTGAAAAACCACTAATTATTTTCACCTACCACAAACCGAAAGCATTTTTTTTGACAATCAAATGAGAGTATCTATCTATCTATCTATCTATCTATCTATCTATCTATCTATCTATCTATCTCTCACTCCATGTAACTACTTCCCGTGTGTATCTAATTACACTACAGTTAGTACCTACTGAAGCGTTAGGTAACTTCCTAACCACTACGATGGGAACCTGATTTCTCCTAACTGCTTCCTCTAATGACTGGCTAACTGGACTTGAGAGTGACCCCTGGCTGCCTACTGCCTAAGTTGGTGACCTTAACTGTCAAACTGCCGCTGCTGTTAACGTCAGTGAACTTAACTACCGTTTTCACCGTTTTTTTAGACTGATTGTTCAACAGGTGGTCGAATTTAGACCTCCTGTTCAGTCTCGTATTTTCTCGCTGGGCATTTCTAGATTTATATGACTGAATGTCAGTAAATGATGTGATTTGTATAATTGGTAAGTGGGAGGTGTATATATGAGGTGACCATAGCTTTGTAAACTACTATTATTACTACTACTACTACTACTACTACTACTACTACTACTCCTACTACTACTACTACTACTACTACTACCAAAATAATAATAATAATAATAATAATAATAATAATGAAAATAATAATTATTATAATTTAACAATCTTGTATATTTACATATATATATATATAATATATATATATATATATATATATATATATATATATATATATATATATATAT